CAGTTTATTCTAAAGACAAGCGTGCTTCATACTTGATCTTTTCTTACTCTAAAGTCCTACCTCTACTTAAGTGCTTTTTCAACTAGACTTGTAGACTATGGCTGTGTTGTCAACATAGAATTTGTTCTTCTCTTTAAAAAGCTACCAAACTAATTAAAAGAGAATCTCACCCTTCTTCTTCTTCTTATGTCTCCTCTTTTTCTTTTCTTTTCTTTCTTTCTTTTTTGTGTGGAGGGGAGGGGGGGGGGGGGTGGGAGGGGGTACCCAGTGGGTGTTTGTGTAATATATCTTAGTTGACAATGAATGAAAGTCAACTCCGTGTGTTTTTTAGGTGGTTTGATGGCAAAATCTACCAAATATGTAATAACCACTTAAGGATTTTAGTGAGAACATAATCCCAAAGTGAATATATATACATAGAAATGGGTATGCTTGGTACCAAACATAAAAAATTATGTTTGGTAATGAGATGACATAATCCCCTCTACTAATTCAAATGATTGGATATCCTCATGCACTCCTCAACCCATGTGAATGTGATCCCTCATTTGAATGAGTGGAGAGGATTGTGCCACATCACTACCAAGCACACCCATATTTCTCATATATATATATGAGATTAATGAGTATCCTTATCATAGGAGGGGATTTACTCCTTGACGCCTATGTGGCACAATCTCCACAATCCTCATAAAGTAGGAGAGAGAGAGTGAGTTGATGGGGATTTGTGCCTACTTTATGAGGATGGTGGGAATTGTGCCACATAGGCGACAAGGAGGAAAATCCCCTCCTATAACAAGGATACCCATTAATCTCTCTCTCTCTCTCTCTCTCTATATATATATATATATATATATATATATATATATTATATATATATATATATAATATATATTATATATATTGAATATATGAGAAAATGGGTATGCTTGGTACCAAGCACAAAAAGTTATGCTTGGTAGTTATGTGGTATAATCCCCTCACACTCATTCAAATGGTTGCATATTCATATGGCACTACTCAACCCATGTGAATGTTGATCACCCATTTGAATGAGTGGAGGGATTGGTCACCTCACTATCAATCACAAAATTTGTGCTTGGTACGTACCAAGCATACCCATATTTCTCTCTTCTCTCTCTCTCTCTCTCTATATATATATATAATATTATATATAATATATTATATATATATATATATATATATTATATGTATATATGATATATATAAGAGAAGAGAGAGAGAGAGAGAGAGAGAGAGAGAGAGAGAGAGAGAGAAATAGAGAAACTTGGTACCAAGTTGCTCTAAGCAACTTGGTAGCGATATGGTCTAATCTTGTCCTTATATTTACATTGGAGTTGGTGAAGGGTGGTTGAGGCTCTATCTTCAAGATGTGATGTAGGGGTAAGATTAGGTCACATCACTATCAAGTTGCTTTAAGCAACTTGGTACCAATGTTCTCCATTTTTCTCATGTATATATGAGAGAAATGAAGAAACTTGGTACCAGTGGAGCAACTTGGTAGTGATGTGGTCTAATCTTGTCCCTATATTTATATTGGAGTTGGTGAAGGATGGTTGAGGCTCTATCTTCGAGATGTGATGTAGGGGCAAGATTAGTGGCAATGAAACAATTCATACTTAGAATATGGAGAGGACCATAGCCATCACCTATTACTAAAGTTATAGACATTTCATTAAAACTAACCCAAGACAAAAAAAAAAAACACATGGAAAAGAGCTATATACAAAATAAAGAGTTAATCAAGTTCTTATGAGCTCACATACACAACTAGAGTCTGAGAAACAAAGTAATATGAACAAAGTATTTACAATAAGACTTGCAAACTGCTACCAAGTCATTGATCCGAGTTCCCCTTTGATGTAGAGTTTCCTGTCCATAAAAGGATGAAGTGTGTAGAGTTAGATGTCAGTATATAAGAAGAGCAGACATTTGTTGTCACTCTACACAGCTAGGGATGAACCAAAGAAAGCAGTCATAGATATCAGATAAAGCTATACATGAGGAATAGTAAATGAACAATAAGTATATAAGAGGTACAAAAATAAACTATCCAAATAAAAGTTTGTGTTCATTCCAAAAGCTGGAGAGAGACAGCTGACTAAGGGTTTCCTGCAACATCATTGCTATCTTCGTTGGAAGAGAGGAGCTCAGAGATACCCTTCTCTTGAACGAGAGCTTTCAGCTTCTAGCCCATTTTGCAGGCCGGATAACCTATCCAGAAAAGGAGAAAGTGGACCATGGAAGCTAACTTAGAGCTTGGGGTACTTGCCTTGAGAAGATGAGGTTGTTACGAGCTCTCCACAATGACCAGTAGATTGTAGAAAAGCAAAACAACCACAGATTCTGAGCCTTACTGTCAATAGATGTGATCCTAGACTCGCTTAGCGAAAGTGCATTTAAGGAAGAGGTGATTGGGAGTTTCCAGATTATGGTTGCATAGAGAGTAGAAAGGGTCACCTGACCAGCCTTTGGTGATGAACCTATCCTAGAAAAGCAAAACGACCATAGATTCCGAGTCTTACTGTCAGTGGATGTATCAGCACAGATGGTATCTTGGGGCAATGAGGGAACACCAATCTCAGGGAGAAAAAGGTCTCACCCTTGCTTAGCAAAACAGCATTTAAATATTATTATTTGAGATGAATTTTGAAAGAGAATGATAAGAAAAGGTGAAACAAAAGAAATTTAAGGGGCCCTTGAACTACTTCTAAACTTTGGCGTGTCTCACATAATACCAAAGCTTAAACTTTTCTAAACAGATCTTCTGATCATAATTTGCAAATAATAAACATATTTTTGAGAGGAAAAACCTCAATTGAAGGGAGGGCTTGGATGAAATGACTCAAATAAGGGTTTTCTCTCAAGACCATTTAATTATTTATCCTTCTCATTGGTTTTCTGGGGAAGGGTTGGAACACTAAAATTCAGGGGGTTTTGTGGGATACGAAAGATGAGGGGGCCATGTGTAAAACCCCAAAAGGGGGGGAAATTATTCCTATGTAAAACAGTCGCTTTTAGCTTGGACCCGTGTTGGGCGGCGGCGGCCTAAATGCCGCGGCACGCGGTGCGGGACCAACGTTGACTTACTACCTTACGCCTCACGTTCTCAACCGTAAGTGCTCCATTGACACGTGCGACGACCTTGTTATTTATAGTAATTATTTTGGGCTAGCGGTTTTAGATATTCGTCCCTTACTTCTTTAATATATCGAACTAGCCCCGAAATCATGTAAATGCTATTTGGTCCCTCAAGTCATAAGGTATTTCCGAATTAGTCCTTCAAATCATTAAAACTGCTATAAGTTCCCTTAAATTTAAAATCAGTTCCGCTATTCAAGAGGAAAAGTATCAATTAGAGAGAAATTATCCCTTAAATCATCTATACTTCTATTTCGCATGTCACACAATTCTCATAAGTTGTTTCAATCTGATCCCCTTAATTACTAATTATACTATTGATTTGAAGGATTAATTTCAAAATAGCTTAAGAACTAGAGGATGTGATAGCAACTTCATTCATTTGAGGGACTAATTTTAAAATATGTTATGAATTGAGGGATTTAATAGCAACTTCCATGGTTTGAGGGATTAAAATATGAAAGATTTAAGGGGTTAATATAATAAAACGAACAATTACATTCCGAAGTTCCATAGTGTAATTTCACTGCTAACACTAAAGTATGCGCATCTACAATGATAGCTCTGCAATTGGTGATTGCAAGTACACAAGTAATCTTAGGGGCTGTTAGTCAATTTGGACATTTTCATGTAAAATGAGATAATTGTTAAAGTTGAATAATTTTTTGTTAGTGGGATATTTTAGTGGGATAAATAGAAACAATTTTGTGAAGCGGGATATTTTGATAAAATAACATGAGATAAACTTTTATAATCATGAAATATATATTTATGTATTTTGAAGATATAAATACTATTTATGTATTTTAAACTTACTATTATTGATTGACAATTGCTTACAAGAATGTTCTTTACTATTAAATAACTTTTGGTTAAACTATAAGATATTGATAATTATTATTATAATAATGGTCTAATGATGGTGATAACCATAATAGGAAAGAAGTAAAAAAAAAGAGATATAAAAAATAACAAAATAAATATGAGTTCTAGTTTTTTACCACCTAGTTCCAAGCTAAAACTTGGAATAATTTGAGAGACTAGAACTCTCATTTTTGTATAGAAAAATAAAAAAATTGGGATGATTTTGTATCATTATCCCAATTCTAGTTTTGTTAGAGTTTTACTTGGCTAACATTATAAAATTTTGTTTTATTTTTAGTTCTATGTGACTAACACCTTAAAAATTCATCCCACATATTACCTCAGTTCCAATTCTAAGTTCTAGGTGACTAACCCCCTTAGCAACTTTAGTATATGTCAACAAATTAATACTATTTTCCCCTTCTTTATTTGAAGTTTTTGTTTAAAGTCGATTACCTTTAGAATTCATAGCAACTTTAGTTTATGTTTCTTATAGAAAGCAACCTTAATTTTTTATTCTCGATTTAGTTGGGAAAAACTAAATTGCAGTCCAAAGGAAATTAATGTCGTGCGAAATTTAAGGAGCATAAATGACTACAACCTTGCCAAGGGTAGGGTTCAGTTCAGAGAATTTAACTGGTAATGAAATAATTTAGATGGTATAAGTGCCTATACAATGCATAGGATTAGGATGTATATGTGTAATTAAGCCTAAAATAAATTGAAGTATGCTAATGCTAATTAATTAGCTAGGTACCCCTATATTTATTAAAGGAGGGATCATGATCACTTTGAGCTAACTTTAGCCACATAATTCAAAGTTAAACAAAAGCTATATTTTAATTCTAAATTCTAATCAATTAATTAATTAATTAGAAACATACTTTATACTAGTCCCCCCACTTGACCTCCACATGAATTATATAAAGGAAGCATAACATACATAGATAATGATCATCTTTCCTCATCTCCCAAAAGCTCACAAGTCAAACAAGCTTACTTCATTCTCTCTTCAACCTCTACCTCATCTCTTAACCCTAAACCGTTCTATATAAAGACCAACCTCTACAACCTTAACCCTTCAAATAAACTTTAAAAAGAAAGAAAAGGAGAAAAATTTGGTAAGTCATGGCAGATAATCTCTCCACAGGCCTATACAGTTCTATGAGCTGCTGGAGCACAATAAGGAACACCTCCTCCTTGGACATGAGAGACATCGGCAATGAAGCTTTCAATTGGAACCAACCCTTTTTGTATGTGATCATCTTCTCCCAGCTTGTTCTCTAAATTCTTTCCATGTTTTCATAACTTTTATTAACTCAAGATATCATGTTTTGATATACGCAGACCTGTAGAGCACTTCGGTGGAATCCAGACGGGTTTCGGGAATTCATTACCGGGTCTGTTTGAATCTGTAGACCCGTTAAAGGACATGAATGATTCATGGGCTAATAAGTTTGGTAGCTCTGAGGTCTCTAGGGTTTCTTCCACTTCAAAGCAACAGTTGAATTTCTCCAACAACACTCCCTTTTGGAATCCTTCAGCCATTTCAGCTCCTGTAAATTTACCCGAACCGATATTTGGGAATGAATCCAGTAGTAGCGATTTGATCACAGTGAAGGCAGGACATGAATTTTCAGTACTTCTACGATAATTAGGGTTTTCCAAGTAAAATCATCTAAATATTTTGTTTGATTTTGAATCAGTCCTCTGAAAGAAAGAGGCCAACTGTAAGTGATCAACCTGCATCAAAGAAGCCAAGAATCCCCACACCGTCGCCTTTGCCAACATTTAAGGTGAATTATATTGCTATGGTGATCCTAAAGCGCTAGAATTTCATTATTTCATTTTTGTTAGAAAACTAATGTTTCTTTCTCTTTACTCTTTGGAGCCTGCAATGATGAGAGTTTTCTTTGTTCTTGGATTGTTTTTAGGTGAGGAAAGAAAAGCTCGGGGACAGAATCACCGCACTGCAGCAGCTGGTTTCCCCTTTTGGAAAGGTCCCATATCTTCTTGAATCAAATCATTAATTTTTTTTATTTTTTGTTTAAGATTTTAGTTAGATTAATTTACTGTATATATTAATATTAGCTTTGATCAGTTGAAGCATCTAAACTGCAATGTTCTTCTTTAATCAGACTGATACTGCTTCAGTGCTCCAGGAGGCAATAGACTACATCAAGTTTCTTCATGGCCAAGTGGGTGTAAGTCCCACTAATGGTTAACTGTACTTTGTTGATTAATAAGAAATTAATTATTAGTATTAAATAATTTTAATCTCTCTCTCTCAGGCTCTAAGTACTCCCTACTTGAAGAATGGCATTCAACAACAAAAGGTACGTGCTTACGGTTAACAATATACTTCACTCTGTTGATTTATATGAATTACTTAAAACCATCCCATTATCTTTATATTAATGGATAGTTGGTGCATAGGGGAATAAGTACTTTTGTGTCAATATCTTAATCTCCACTCTCCTTGTTTCGTACTGATCTAAAGGCAGACGGATCCTTGTTGCAGCAACTATATATCCAATGAACATAAAATCATCTAATAAGTTCTTGATGTGGTTCTTGATAGGATTCTGAGAAGGATGAAGGCCTCCAAGATCTAAGGAGCCTAGGGCTCTGTTTGGTTCCAATATCGAGCACATTCGCAGTGGCGAGCGAGTCGCCTATGGATTTCTGGGCTCCTTCCTTCTTTGGAAGCTATTGATGAAGAGGTTCATATGCAGAAGACAGATACAGCTTTACTCTCAAATAAATATATATGATCAAATAGATGGAGGCAAGACTTAGTAACTCCTACTTTCTCATGACATTTTAGTATAATTGATTTGAATCACAAAGTAAGTTGGGTTAGCTATTGTTAGAATCAATATAAAACTACAATCCTTGATCAAGGATGGTAGTTTTGTATTGATTCTAACAGCTACAACAAGAATGGATTGAGGCTGGCTAGCCATGGATTAGAAAAGAGTTGGAGGAGGATGTTATTGTATTGTTTTTGTGTATGATGTTGTGTTAGGAGAGAAAAGATAAAAGTGGAGAAATAATTGAAGTCTTGAAAAGATGGACAAATTTATAGTTATCTTTGTGTTTGGTGGTGCAACTTTGAGTTTTGTTTATAATGTAGGTTTAAATTAAGTTTAAGAAAAGATGGACAAATTTATAGTTATCTTTGTGTTTGGTGGTGCAACTTTGAAAATATGATAATAGTTCTGCTCTTAATACACGAATGAATTTATTTAGTTATAGATTTGATGTGGTTAATGGAGTTAGAATCAAGAACCATAAAAGATGAGTCATTCATACTTCAAATGGATTTGGTTGTTATCTCTATATTTGTAAATTAATACGAATACCTTCTCTAATTTTTTTTGAGGTAAAAACAAACTAAAAGTTTTTGTTTGTCATACACATTTGAGATAATTAAATATCTTTGAAGAGTTCATCACTTTGTCTTAGACATAGTGCATCTTATATCTAAGATCTATAAAGATGCAATCCCTCTCTTTCTTGTACAAAAGAAAAGTACCGTGTCATTAACAAATATGCATGATATAATTGATACTATGTGAGTCACGCTCAGAATCATGTAACATGCATGTTGACCTCCCTTGACAAGTTCAGAAGCAAGCAGACTCCAAAACTGAGCATTCAAACTGACTCATGAGGATAGGGGCACTAATATACATGCCTCTGATTTCATCAACAAAGGTTTATTTAAATATTCGAATGAGTAATACCGTCCACAATCATCACTAAAGTTTTATAATCTAGTGCAATTTACTGATAAAACACAAGAGATGAAGATACAAATTGAACAATGTATGACATCTCTCACAAATACACAGATTACATAAGGAATATTGCAACCCCAGATTCTTGTATAGAATGATTCAAGAGGATGACTTGAGCTTTTTGGCAACACCAGCGAAGTACTGGCCCTGATGGAAAGCGAGCCCGAGCTCAGGCTCAGTTGGGACCCTGGTTCCATCACCAGCATAGGTACCAGCACCATAAGGGCTTCCGCCTTTCACACTCCCCATCTCGAACATGCCAGCACCAAAAGTGTAGCCAACGGGCACAAAGATCATTCCGTGGTGAACCAGTTGAGTTATCGCTGTCAAACTGCAGACAAAAATAAGGGGGGATTCTTTAAAAAAAAGAGGATAAAATGTTGTCTTCTACGTTGAAGGTAATAAAAAAGTATACTAATTTTCATGTGATTCTGCCATGGCAACTCAATCAAATTGGGGGGAAATAATGACGTCCGGGGTTCAGTAGCTACGCGACTGTAGTGCAGGAGATCGATGTATCTCAAACTAACTCTAATTTAAATGCTGTATGATTTTGATTGTGATCTTGTAGGTTCTAGCCATTTGCAATTTAGTTGGAACGAAGGAGCGGTGACGTGTGAAAAAAATGACTGAACATAGGGACTTAAGTGAAGGCAATCATGATGATACTGTAGGATCATGTACAGAATGTTCGCATTTGCATTTACGATATAGATAGCTTTTAATGTGAGCAAATAATAGATATAATGCCTATAAAACAAGTTTAGCTGAACTCCAAATTAGCAGTGAGATGAGAGAGAACCAAGAACTAGGGACAAATGGACTGGATATTAGTCTTGTGATAATATTATGTTTCCGATATCAGTTATCAGATACACATCCGCAGATTGGGTACTCTTTGGAAAAGAATACTGATACCCATACTCGATAGAAATAGTGTGGGTTGGTCGGATGACAACCATAATCAGCACACAGGTGTGATAAGTTTGGTGATGGTTGACCACATAAACTCAATATCAAATAGAAACTCCAATCCCAGGTTCAACATGCTACTTCATCCCAATGTTAGCTTGTAGGAAAAAGCTAATACACACCGCTCATCTTGATCCATACATGATACATGATATGTTAAAAAGAAAAACGCATGTTGTCAAAAGCTGATAAACATGTATCAAAACTCTTTTAATGATAGAACAAAAGAACTGTACGTGTTCATGATCTAGAACCAATTGAATTTGAAGATCAAATCATGACAAATAGAAAGGTCTTTCAACTACTGCTACTTAGTCTATGGTTGAATGATGACGATCAAAAGAAAAATTTTATGAAAAAAGACCATTTGTAAAAAAAAACATTAGCAAAATCGACCTTATTTAAAATATTTAGCGAAATCGACCTCTTTTTGGCCACTTCATCTCGGTTGGCCAAAATGAGGTCGATTTTGCAACATACCAGCTTTAAAATACACGAGACTAGTAGTCCCGTGTAATTAGTGGTTTCTTTGCTAATCAAGGTTAATCTGAAATTGTAGTCCTGTGTAGTTTGTGCTAAAATAGTCAAGGTTTAATTAATGAGAACTAATTACACGGGACTACTAGACCCGTGTATTTTAAAGTTGATATTTTGCAAAAACGACCTCTTTTTAGCCAGGTCAATTTTTCCTAATATTTTCACAAAAGGGTGGATTTTGCTAATTATTTTTTAGCAATAATTCTCCTGATAAAAAACTTTCCCTTTTTTTTCCTCCAAATTCAACATCCTAACATATACAATTAATTTGGAAATCAATAAAGGAAGAAAGAGCTTACGGAGTGGTCTCTTGTCCACCACCTTGAGATCCAGTACTGTAGAAAAGCCCTGCAGGCTTGCCTGCAAGCTGCTGGCTTCTCCAAAGCCCACCAGTAGCATCAAGAAATGCCTTGAATTGTGCTGCCATCATCCCGAACCTAGTTGGAAAGCCAAATATAAACCCATCAGCCTCAGTGAGCTCATTCGGGGTGATGATCGGCACATCACTCTTTGGAGGTGCTCCCATTTTGCCGAGGACCTCCTCTGGGAGAGTCTCCGGTACCTATACAGAAACATAACTGAATTTTATTTTCGTGATGATTTTCAATGATATTATTCAGAATGGGAAAAATAGACTGAGCTGCAAAATGACACAAGGGTACTAGTCAAGTGCAAAGTGATGCAAGGGTTCTTTGAGCAAATAAGGATGCTAGCTATGGAGCTTTTTTTTTTTTTTGAAGATTAATTGCTATACAAAATCTCCAAGATGGTAGTATGTCAGAATGTTTAAAAGAAAGGGAATTAAATAAATTATATTAGGCACCAAAATACAGAGGTCCCAATCCTGAATGTGCACCTCAGTGTACCTATATCTCAGTAAAAGGCTTATAATTAAGTAAATAAAGAAAGAAAACCATGGTTCTCCTTTACATAAGTAGGATGTAAATAACAATACTTCAGGTAATTGGAGAGGGGAGAAAGTAATAAGCCAAATGTGAAGAAGAAGGAAATAAAAAATAAAAAGGCTCTGCTAGGATTAGATAAGAATCTTTTATTTTTTTTCGTTTTCATTCATCGACTATAATGATTATATGTGGAAAAAAAACTTTAAAAGGTGTGAAATCATTCGTCATGAAGCTTTCCATGGAATTAAAAAAAAAAGATAAACCACAGAGCCGTGTATGTACATATGACGACACAGCCAAAGCCATTCCATCCACAACTTACAAAGCTTCATTTATAACTCTTGTGTTAGGTCAACATTACTCAAAAAGTAATTGAGCAGAACAAAAAAAAAAGAAGACTTATGCACAATAATGGTCTGAGAACAGGACATAATTTGGAAACACAAACCTGCCATAGTTTAGCTTCCACTCCTTCAACAGATGAGGCACCTTTCTTAATTTCTTCTGCTAACTTCTCAACATGCCCATATGTGGAGTAATACCTGTGTAAATATAGTATCAATTGCTACCGCAAGTATATGTTAAAATTCACTGTAATTATACTATAAACGGATAAAAAAATATGAATTATTGGCTGGTTCTAGCCTTTCACACCTTTTCAGTGCATGACACACAGAAACGGTAACATGGTCTGCTAGCACAACAAGAATGAGAGAGAAATTCAAAGAAATAACATAAAGAAATGGACCATCATCTTGTTGGGGAATTTCACTCTCCCCGCCTACTACAATATGCGCAACTCCAAAGCCAACCCACAATCAACAAGATATAAAACGATCACAATCAAGCAAAAAATACACCGGGATTTACGTGGTTTGGTCGACCAACTTCCACCTACGTCCACGGGGCAACAATACGAAAAATTCACTATGTATCAGGGAGAACTACAAGAGGAACCACTCAACTCTCGTCTCTCAATTACTCAATCTCACATACATAATCAACTCTCATATTTTCTCCAAAGCTCACTCCTTGTAATCTTTTGCACGAATAAATATCACGAAACTCTCGCCTCTCGCACAATATTCTTGAATTAGGCTACGCTCTCTGCTAACCCTAGATTACAAAAATATTGGCTCTCTCTACTACATCTTCTCTCTACTCTCTTCTTCTTAGTTTTTCCTCCAACAATAGAAGAATATATATAGAAAAACCAAAACCATATCTCTAGCCTAACTTCCTAATTATAATAGGATTCAAACTTCTAATCATGATGGAACCCAAACTTCTAATCATGATAGATCTCTAATCCTATCTAATTCTCATAAAGTTCTACAAAGAATTAAAGACACAATCCAAACATTTCCACCTTGGATTTGATTCCCAAACTCCCTTGAAAATATATCATTGTCGTCTTGAAACTTTGCCTCTCCTGCTAGATTCTTCTATTTCTTTCCGCACTTCAAATCAAAGCACATATGACCCTCACTTTTATCTGTCTTGCTGTGACGCCTCCACCTCCCTTGTGCGCACCAAGAGATCTTCGCCACCTCTGACAATAAAAGCAAATAAATCATGCTTGTCCTCCAAACTTGAGCCTGACAATAGCTTCCCCCTACTTGTTGTCCTTGTGCTCCACCTGCATCGCTCGCCTCGAATCATATTGGTGTACCTCTCCTCCTCCACACTACGAGCTGGATGTCTCTATCTCCTCCATCACTTGGCTTGGACCGAATATGAGCATTCATCATCTTCAAGTCCAATGCCACAATCTCCATTACCCTGTGTGTCACTCGATCATGCTAGCTTGCAAGCTTCACCTAATCTGACAATATCCTCCTCGAGTCTACACACCAACCAACTAGTGCTTCCATGATGGCTTTGAATAATTATATACTAATAACTCTACTGTTAGAATCACATCTGATTCTCTACATCAGTCTCATCTGTCGCATACTCATTTACCCTATCTGCCATGAGATCTGTCTTACCGTTGAATAACAGAATATCGAACTTCGGATCCGAAGAAATCATCATTCTCTAACCATGATCAAAATTTAAATCAGTCACTATAGAGATTAAATTTGATAAAACCGATGCTAAAAACAAACTCAAAACGTCGAAAAACTCTAGGAACGACTCTTGGATCACCAAAATCCTCCTCCAAATCCTCGATTAAAAGATAAATCAATCTCAACCGTTGGATCTGTGTGAATAATACCTGCCACACGCTATAATGTTCCTGCTTAAGTATCCAGCTACAGATCTCGACCGCTATAGTATGTCGTTGTTATAGCAAATTTTTTCTTTTTCTTTTTCTTTTTCTTTTTATCATGATTCTTGTAACGCCGATCTTCGATCTTGCACGACGTCGTCTTCTATCTTGCGAATTCGCTCCCGAATCCATCATCATCGCTCTGATACCACTTATTGGGGAATTTTATTCTCCCCGCCTACTACAATATGTGCAACTTCGAAGCCAACCCACAATCAACAAGATATAAAACGACTACAATCAAGAAAAAAGAATATCGAGATTTACATGGTTCGGTCGACCAACTTCGACCTACGTCCACGGAGCAACAATATAAAAAATTCACTATGTATCAAGGAGAACTACAAGAGGAACCACTCAACTCTCGTCTTTTAATCTCTCAACCTCACATATATAATCAACTCTCATATTCTCTCCAAAACTCACTCATTGTAATCTTTTGTACGGATAAAGATCACGAAACCCTAGCCTCTCGCACAATATTCTTGAATCAGACTATGTTCTCTGCTAACCCTAGATTATAAGAATATTTGACTCTCTCTCTCTCTCTACTACATTTCTCTCTACTCTCTTCTTCTTAATTTTTCTTCTAACAATAGAAGAATATATATAGGGAAACCAAAACCCTATATCTAGCCTAACTTCCTAATTAGAATAGGATTCAAACTCCTAATCATGATGGAACCAAAACTCTTAATTATGATAGATCTCTAACCTTATCTAATTCTCATAAAGTTCTACAAAGAATCAAAGACACAATCCCAACACATCTACCGTAGAGAATTACAGCGCATGAACTTAAAGGCAGATTTCTGAGGATGAGCCTGAAGGAAACAAGTTGTTAAGGCTTCTCACCTACCCCAAAGAAACAATCTTGCAGCAGGACGACAACTCCACATGGATGAAATGTCAACAAAACGGACTTGGGCAATCATGGATCAGGTCATGGAATCATGATTTAGACACCATTTCCTTAAGATTTGGGATAGCATTATGGATTAATCTCTAAAGTCAGTCAAATTTTAACCAGTGAAAATTATGAAATGCTTGAGAATTTGACAAATGTCAACTCGTGATTTATTAAGAGAAACCATTTCATAGGGTAAATTAAGTCATGCTACTTATTTAAACCCTTTACACTAGAAAGCATTAAAACTGTTGACCAAATGATAAAAAGTTATAACTACATATTTTCCTTTTCCTTTGAACATAAAAGTGGTCCCTTCAACCTTTCTCCCAATAAAAAGGAGAAAACTCCTCATCAATGTGTTAGTTTTAACAAGACTTCAATTCATGACCTCCTTATCACAATACCATGCCTTATGAACTCTTGAGATCCTCTTTTAATTAGATCTATATATCATTTGCACGCGCTTTCCATCAATACATAAATGGTTATGAAGAACAATGTTAAAGCATTTATTTCAACTTCTATTGCCACCTATTCATCTATAGAGACCATGCACCCTTTCCTAAAATGCTTGGTAGCAAGAGAAAGTATCAAAGGGTCCCGATCTATTGCATTAACGGCGCACTAATCTAAGGAAAGATATCCCTTTTGGTAGCGTTCGTTTTATAGACCGAGACCATTGGATACTTTCTCTAGCTAGCATGTAAAAACCTTACTAGAAGCTAAGTTTAAGAATTAAGAACCATCTTCCATATTTCCTCAAAGCGCCATTATTCCTCAAAACAGAAACAGAATTCGGCAAGCAATTTCTTTCACCTCTGACTTATGCAATACAAGTGAAAGTGTATGTTAACATGTTTATTAGAAAATAAATAAAAAAATTGTATGGAGTTTTACGTAATAAAGTACCTAATTATAGATGTATCTAGAAACTAGGTGCTCCACTAAGTTAAGGTGCAAAAGGTTATCAATATATGTGGATCAAGGAGGTGCATAGGAAGTGTATACCTATCTAAATTTCAAGAATGCACTGATCAGTTCACATCAATATGCATTAAAGCAAAGAGACAGCATCAAGGTTATATTTCAAAAAGATTATAAGAAAAGGAACTCAGAAAGTGACATAAAGATTCACGTCCATCTTTTAGGGTAATTGGCCCTCTCCATTAAACCTACCACCTTGGATGGAGACAGCCATTCAACTACCATTAATCACAAACTACACAACCTTAACGCAATATCTCCTTTACAAATCCTTTCCCTGTTCTCTAATTTTTTTCTAGTTTATAAATTATTTCTGTACAAATTAACCTTGCAATAGAGAATCAATTAAAAAAAAGATGTGCAAATTTCGCTTCAAGATTGAATGTAAGAACTGGGTTTTATCAAATAAGCACTTAGCTAACCAAAAGATTGCTCTAAATCGCTCAACAAAATCCCATTTTGATTCAGCCCTCTTCAAATGGGTCAAGAGCAATAAACCCAAATAAACAAACAAAACTACAATTCGAATGAAGACGAGCAAATTGGCCACACTAATCAACAAGGAGAGAAAAAAAAATCTATACACATAAAAGAAGAGCAAGGGAGGGAGAGCTTACACGATGTAAATTTTTGTCGCCATTGATGGAGGTCTTGAGAGCTCGAAAGATATTGCAGCAAAGATTCAAGAGAGAAAGCAAGAGTTGAGACTGAGAGGCCCAAAGGCCAAATATTTATAGAGCAGAATATTTTGACGATACGCAATTTCAAATTGGATTTATATGGGGCCCACTTGGTGAAGAATTGGGGTGTATTTTATTTGGTATTTAATCATCTTAACTGGTATTTTGAGAATTTAAGTCTTAAATGTTCATAATAAACATTATATTAAATAAATCTTAATAAGAAGCATTTATGTATTAATTGCTGATGATTTTTTTTCCCTCTTTTTAGTTGCTAGCCGGAAGATTATGTAATGAGTACATGTGCTTGAGGTAGCCATATTGAAATTTTCTAATCGTTCGGATCATCCCCATGGGTAGTACATATTTTACTTTTAATATAAATTTTTTTGCAACCCTCTAACAATTTAGACCCTCTAATTAAAATTAATTATAATACTATAAGAATGAGTTTATTATTGTCTTCCCTCCAAAGATATCGTATTTTTATATGTATGACATTTATATTGATTTTGGTTGAAGCCAACACTTGGACGTGCGTACTATTGTGTTGAGATTCTAAAATCATATATAGACTAGTGCGCACCCCGTGCAAAGCACGGCCCCCTAATTTTTTAAGCACTGTATTTTAAACTTGTCTCCTTCTAAGTTCTAATACATTTGACTTAATTATTGTATGCTTCATATCTACTCCTCTATACTTAAAGAATAATTCAAGTTTTAATACATTCAATTTAGAAACCATATTTACTCTTCTATACTTAAAAAAGGATCTAAGTTTTAATACATTTGATTTAGAAATCATATCTACTCCTCTATACTTAAAGAAGGATCTTAGTTTTAATATATTTGATTTAGAAATCATATCTACTCTTCTATACATAAAGAATGATCCAAATTTTAATACATTTGATTTGTTTTATTGTTTATAATACAGTAAAAATACTATAGTATAAGTAGTAACTTCAAGTATGGAGGAGCAAATTCGATTTACTGTTTATGCTACAGTAAAATACTATAGTATAAACAGTAATTTCGAGTGCAGAGGACCGGGTTTGGTTTATTGTTTATACTACAGTATTTTATTATAGCATGAACAGTAATTCTTTGGATTCTCCTTTAGCTATAGAGGAGTAAATTCATCATTATGACCTTTAAGGGAAAAAAATTCTATTCCTTCTCTTTTCTATTTTATGTAAGCAAATTTATATATACCTGACCTTGTGTTTTTGAATTTTCATAAGATAATGGTTGTACTTTAATTAGTGGCATAGCCAGGATTATTTTTTGCCCTGGGCGAAAAATAAAGATGGTCTACGAGTATATTGTGAGGGAGAGGAGTGAGGTGCATGAGAGGGAGGAGGGCTGGGGATTGTTGAGATGGAGGTCCTGAAAGAGGAGGGAGAGGAGGTTGGATCTGTGGGAGAGGAAGGTGAAGTGGCGGGAGAGGAGGGGAAGCGAGGGGAAGAGGGAGAGATCATGGTAGAGGCGGAGTTTCTTGCCCTGGGCAGCTGCCCAGGGCAAGCAAGCTCTGGCTACGCCCCTGACTTTAATGCTAAGCAAAATTTATAGCATCAAAAGTTCACCTAATTTAATGATCCAAAAGGTAATATCTCTTTGCTACATCATTAACTTTATAGGCCAAGAGCACGGAATACTTTCTTGTTGACCTTAAAAAAAAGACAAAGTTAATCCAATGGCTAGATGGAGAATAATGAATATTCCAAGGATATTACTCAAATTTTATAAGTGGGAAAGTTTTTGTCGCTAAAAATATAAATATAGCTTAAAAGTTTTTTAGACAGGTCATAAATTTTGAGAGAGGTACCAAAGTGAGGCAGATGTTAGAAAGAGGGTATATTTTAAAAGTCCATTGATAAAACAATTGTCTATATTTTTAAAAGCTTTTTCATGGACAACTTTTCAAAAATTGTACTTACTTGATGGCTTCAAGTTCAAATAAGATGATGTCCCCCTCAAAAGAAGAAAAAAGAGGAGGAAGAAGAATTTTAAATAGGTAGTAGAAGAATTAATTTCCCCCTTTTTTGCAAATTAAATATCTGTTTCAAACTCATTGAATAAGGAATTTTGCATGAAAAAGACTCCAAACTATTAGTCATACTAAGATTTCGTACAAATAGATGGTTAGAATCATTTTGAGTCAGCCAAAAGCTGCATAATATTGTCAAAGTTTTTTTATAAATCCTATAGCAAAATTGACTAGATAACCAATTTAAATAAATCAGTAGAAGATTCCGGTGACGCATAAGATGATGATTTTTCATTCGGAAATTTGTACTTCTTCAGAAAAAATTAGCATGCCAGCGGCTTTCTCTATTCACGCGATGTGTTGATGCAATTGATAACTTGTGTCAACTTAAGTGGATAGTGAATAGTGTGTCCACCAAACTTTATATCCACTCATTTAACATATAAAAAGTCACTTCATATCATGCAAGGATCCCTAGGAAACATCCAAGGGTTAAAAAGTTTGGTGGATGTCCACTTAAGTGGACACAAGTTTTGGTCATATATATATATATATATATAGTATAACAAAAAAGTGATATTAAGGGAAAACTCTTAACGGAAATTTTGGATTAATTTTCAAATGAAAAACACCCTAAAATAGACTAGTGCATGTGCCATCCTCATTCCTCACCTCAATATAAATCTTCAAAATCTGTCTCATTGTATCTCCATTTGAGTACATCTTAACTTATGGATGAAGAAAGTTTCTTTATCTGTAAATTGATGAACATAGAGTGCAAGTGATCTGCTATTTACTTAACCTAATCTCCTAGGAAAACTCTAATCGTATTAGTCTCTCCTAATCTTATCTATATGTACGATATTTTAATTTAGAATTGTAATTTTAATATTTCATACTTAGAACTATAACCTAATTCTGGAGGCTACAAGAATTCATCTAGAGTTTGATGAGTTCAACATTCCCTCATGAAAGTTCCTTGTGGTGGATTTTTGGGGGGAGAAATTTTCTCATGACAAAGGCATTGTTTGGCAATAAGAGATTGTGTCTTATTTAAGAGATTGTGTCTTATTGATTTAGTCAATAAGCTAGTAGAGCCGTTTGGTGACCAAAAATAAGGAGGAAATTATTTTGGAGATTGTGTCTTTTACAAGTAGTTTTTGGAAAGCTACCTTAAGTAGTGTTTGTCTTTGGGAAGGAGCTGCCAATTTTTTTCTTCCGTTTTTGCCCCTAATAATTCTAATTTTATATCAATAATATTGCATATTATTTTTAGTCATTTAACAAATTTAAGCTAGTTGTGTACAGCTACTTTTTCTAAACAGCTCTAGTCAATCAGCTAGCTACATAACTATCAGCTTTCAGCTATAATTTCACAGCTTTCAGCTAGCTTAATAGCTTTCAGCTATAATCTCGTAGCTTTCAGCTAGTTTTGCCAAACAGAGCCAAAGTCGACGTTGCAGTTAAAAGAGGTCACACTAATAGCACTATTTCCAACTGTAACACTCTTGCTCATGTAAATGCAAGCAAAGCATGACGGATTCAACATGAGGAGAGGAATTAATGGATCTCCTTTATGTTTTAAAATTTCGGTCTTTGGAGAATAATTTTGATAATATTTCCAAAATAAAAAAAGGGAAAGGAAACAAGAAAAGAAAAAGAAAAAGAAACACGGGAATTAGATTGCCTTTTAACATGTTTGGCATATACCTGCCCTAACCGAAATCATTCTCATCCATCCAAGTAAAAACTCAGCACAAAAGGCATGTTATACTCTTCGTATAACTTGATTGGATGCACGTGTGCATTGCACGTGGTTAAACATCATTATCTTTTTTTTCTTACTTAACTCGCTTGTGAAATATTTATTTGAATTTCACGTGGAAAAATAAAATAATTGTTGTCTATATACCTATATAGTTAATCAAAAGTATTAAAATTACCTTAACTAAACTCAAAATTACACAGTCAATTTGCATTAAGCACAATTTACAATAAATAGTACATGAAGGTAAAGATCCTTTTATGGAAAAAATAATTTTTATGGAAATAATTTCATTCTGATCACAATCCCATGTTTTTCATCTTATAATTTGTACGAATTCACGGTATTTGACACCCTTTACAATTTTAATGATTAATTTTCACTTTAATGTGATTGTTTTCGTTGAAAACTGCCTTCATCATTGATTTCATTAAACTTCAATCGCTACAAATGAATTCAAATAACGAAAATAAAACAATTACAACTCTCTTGAAAATAAACACAAGATCCGTTTATCGTCTCTTGCTTGCGTGGGTTCTTCGCCGGTGTCGGGGTTTATCCGTGGACGACCGCGAATCAGATCCGGTTGTCGAAAAATTAGGCAGAGCTCCTACCTCACCAAGGAGGTATTTGCTTGAAGCGCTAAAATCGACTAAGCGAAATCAGTAGCTCTTCTCGAGATTAAGACAAAGCCTAATCTCAAGGAACGGACGTACGGGCTTCAGATCCTTCTAATAACTCCTCCTTCATGCCGAAGTTCGTCGGGATCTCGTTTGCCTTTGCTAAAATTTCGTGCTCCTTGACTCTTCAATCCAGCAGCACCTCGTCCTCTTGATCAAATTCCAAATCTCGAAAATGAAGGCTTTGGGCTGATATTTATAGGCCTCGGGTGCGGTTATTTGGATAAGAATAAGTGATTTGGCTCTATCTTCGGTTAACAACAGCCTAACCACATTTGTGGATGATATCAAATCAGTTAGGAACCCTTGGAACAGATAAAACCTGCGAAAAACCGCTTTGGTACAACAGCCTAACCTGAGAATATTCATTTTTGGTGCAAAAAATGGTGCAATGGGTTGGAGATGATTTACTGTTAGATGTGACTTTTGCACCATTTTGGTGCAAAATTTGCACCATTTTGGTGCGATGGGTTGGAGATGCCCTAAACATAGGACGGAGTGTTGTACATGCACATGACATGACAT